GGCAACGATGTACGTACGACGACGACGAATACGAACGAATAAACACGAACGAATGTAGAAACGAACGAACGATACCGACGAGTGGATATCTGTTTCTCGGCGATGAATCGAGATCGGTGTTGCTACGGAGATGTTTGTCGGTGGTTCGTATAGAGATTCGACGAGTCTGCCGCGAGCGTATAAACGAGAGTCGCAGGGTGGAGAGGAACGAGAATGTAGAGACGAAGAACGTGAGAAGATGGAACGTTGAATCTTGCACGGCGTATAGTCCAAAGTTTAAAGCGTATTAATTTTTATCGTTACGTTGCAATATTACTGAACAATTGTTATTAAATAAAAAATATTAATAATAACAAATTGCCTAGTTCCTCTCGCAGTACGGTGAATCGCTAATTTACCGACCATCGTACCTACAGGTATAACGAGTTCTGCGCTGTCTAGTAATATTACGAGTAAGCTATTCGAGTATTCAAATTAATTTTTACAAATATTTAGATACAAGTTATACATTTGGATACAAATATTTAAATATTAAAAATTTAGATACGATTTAGATACAAATATTTTATTACTCTTCGATGTTATTTCGGTAATTAACGTACAACGAACGTACAATAAAAAATAGATGTTTAATTTATATGCTATTTTTGTTAAAAATATAAAGATAAATTTATAAAAATATAAAGATACAATACGATGAAAATTGACGTTTCATACCTTTTCTTCCTATATAGAAAATATCAACGATTCGAACGAATTATATCATTTAAATAAAGTATTTGGACGAGATCTCTACGAGCTTGCATCGAACGATACAAAACTGGACAATCTAAAGATTCACATTTCGGTTCGTCCAAATAACCAGTACAAGATCGACATATCTAAAAAGAAAATTTACATTTCTATGTCAAACCTTTGTGTCGAACCTTCTGTATCGATACCTTTTAATTATATATCGAAAAATAAAATATAAAAACTTCATACGTACCGTAGTAAGTTCGTAATGAGTACGTTCCAACCATCTTAACTTTTCGTGTAAAATAGTAATTGTTCGACTCGGCTTTGCCATACAACTCGTGCAAATATCTTTTTGCGTCTGATTTTTGCAAGCAGCGCATACTACGGTACTAAAAAACTGTCGAATAGTTAGTTTTTGATTGTTCGTAGATAAACCAACTACTTTATCAGGTGTTTGACGATGAATCATTTCTGCATACCTAAGAGCGAAGAGCAATATTTCAAAACAAAAGCTATGATTAAAAATGTAAAATGCAATATTCGTTGTACCATGCATTGGCATCAACGCTGACTAAATTTAAACATCGATTAAGTGGCGGTATGATAACTTTTGTTACGTAATATATCGAATTTGGATCTAAACCTTCGTCTGACATTACTTCTATCGGAGTTCGCACACATTGAATCAGCGGTTGATTCGGGGCTCCAGCAACTATAACGTATCGAACTCTTTCACCAGTACGAGGTATTGCACGCGGATCTTTGCGCGTTAATCTTCGTGTTAATTCTAACGCGGGTACACAAGCACTGGTTTTGTAACCACGCAAGCCACGAAATTCCTTTGCGAATGTTAAATCTTGAATTGATATTTTTTTACGTAAAATTTTATCAAATTGTCTGGTGACGTATAATTTTACTAAGGAGAGATCCTTTGTATCAAACAAGATTTTCAGTGTTTTTTCAAGTATCTGAAATTTAAAATTATCATTTGATACTTTCACTCGGTATCTTGCAAACGCTTTTAATTTACCTTAGCTACTGCTGGACAGCCATCTCTGCGAACAGTTTCGATACCCTTCGCTAAATATACAGGTTCTTTTTGTTCTGGAGATTCATACATGTAACCGCAATACCTTTTCTTGGTCTGAAAAAGATAAAAGTATCATAGAATGTTACGCGTGCTAATTTATTTGTCGAATATCGATAAAATATTACTTGTAGTATCGATGGTTGTAAAACTTTCTCAAATTTGAGTTTCACTGGAGGTGGATTAGCAGCGGTAACAGTATCGGCAATTTCAGCTCCAATTGCAAATGCATCTTCTCTCGATCTTCCAGGTAAAAGAACAAACAATGAATCTGTATCGCCGTAAACGACTTTGGCTCCCCATTTAGAAGTAGATTCTACTATTTTGATTGCTCGTTCTAATGTTTCCCTTCCTTTGCTGACAACACTGTCTCCTACCTTGATTGATAGTAGTTGTAAATAATTTTGCAAAAAATTCATAAAAATATTATGCGATATACGTCTGACGTACTTCTATGCAAGGCATTCGGCCGCTAAAATTAGCAGCTGTGTAACCATAAGTAACATTTGCAATTAACTTGAGGCCTAATTGCTGTGAGTGAAGAACACGTTGTAATGCCTGATTTTTATTCCCGTGAAGTTTCATAGATCTTTTTATCATTAATCGAGTATTTAAAATTTCCGCAAGCATACGCGGTAATATTCCTGTTCGTACTTCTGGTTTTACAAAAGCTACGCCACAAGGTGCAAAATTGATTTTTCCTAATAATTTTTGAGCGGTATTTTTCTTTATTTTTAACGTAGTTGTACCAAATTCATATGGTTCGTAACTAGAAGAAATAAAGATATTATATCATATGCTGTTCTTCTTTTCGTAAATATAGGAATACCGATATTATACTTACTGGCCAATGTGCTCTACACGACCTAAACACGTAGAGAAACAATAGTTGTAAGCAATAATGATACTTGGATATAAACTTTGAAAATCTAGGACGACCAATGGATCGGTATATAATGCGGACTGTGGTTCCATAATGAGTGGTAGAGATTCAGGTGCGCGCATTCGTGCTCTTTGTTGCATAGAGGGTGAAACTGGAATGTAATTCAAAGGTTTTGCAAGTCTCAACATCATTGACTCGACTCGAAATTGAGAGCCTCTCGAAAATACTTCGTAAAATTGTATTCCAAAAAGTCGTGCATGTTCGCACGTACGGCCTAAAACATTAACGAAGTATAATATAAGAAACGGAACGTTACATTGCGTGAAAGAAAATGAAAGAACAATGACTGATACGAACCGATAATGTCAAGCTGGATTAATATCCTTAATGTACCCACAACTCGTATGACATAATGAGTAATAACTCTCCATTGTATCGTCGCATTTTTATGATTCCACCAATCGGTTAAAATTTGAAAGGTAGGACGTGAAATTCTTTCATGCATGACATGATACATGACACTTTCAAATGTATAATTTAACAATGCTATTTCGTGTCTCATTATTCTCCAAACGTCAAGGATAATTCGACCTGGAATTTTTGTATCGCTGAAATTATCTTTATCGGCTTGTCCTTTGGATTTTGGAGGAACCGAAATTCTTGAGATTTGCCATGTAAAATCATTCAGTCCGATACGAGAAGCTCTGTGAAAGATATATCCCCATGAAAGAGACTCTATTTCCCAACCGATTAAAATATCTGGATCGCAATGTCTAATTAATATCGTGAGGCTATTTAATAAATCCTCTTCGCTTGATACGTATGATGTGATACATGTATTAGTTGAATGTATATCTTTTACTTTTGTATTTTTTATGGAAGAATTTACAACGATAGCGCCTAAAACAATATCGTGATTCATGATTATACAAAACAATTGAAAGAGAAACAGAATGTATATTCTTTCATTTTAATGTATACCATGCTCTGTCGGTTCAATTTTTGAAGATGATGGAACATCATTGTGAATAGCATAGAATACTGCTCCGATCGGGTCATGATCTGGATCAGGAAGAAATTTATCACGTGTAATAATATGTATTTCTACTGCTAATATTGTCAAACATTGGTACTGTAACAATTAAAAAAATTTAACATTCGATATGATGGCATTTTATAAATAAAATTTTACAATATACATAATAATTTTATAATAATAATATTAATTACCACCGTTCGACTTTTGGCATTTTGAAGATTTTCATTTTCAATGTTATTACTATATCCTTTTAGACTATGTTCGATTTGCCCGTGTGAAATGCCTAAATATCGTGGTGTATCGTTATTTCTATATAATAGTGGATTTTCAAGCATTTTTTGCAAAGAAGAATTAAAATTGTTAGATTTGCTTAAATACTCTGAACTGTCAGAACTCTGTGATTTCGTATATCGTTCGTCGTCGATAGATGTTTTCTTAAGTATATTGCTTTCTTCCGCGTCTCTTGGAACGTTGATATCGTCGTTTGTTTCTTTATAATTATCATTTTTCTTTGATAAATATTTTTTAGCTTGTAACCAAGTTTTAACATTTTTTAATATTGGTGGATGAATGAGAGGATGAATTATTAACGTATCGTATCCAGCAAGAACTTTCTTTATATTGCAAGATTTTATACTCGATCCAGATGGATAAAATTCGTTTATTCTTACTCGACGCCACGATTTAATACTTGCAATCCTATCTAAACTACATTTAAATGGAATTACTTTGTGAATACTATTGTTACTCCGATTTTCTTTTTGCTTGAGTTTTAGCAAATCAATTCTGTTACTAAAAAATAGCGTGTTAAATTTTGATTCCAAAATATCATACGTTTTCATAGAATTTATAATTCTTTCTCTGCTTGGTGGATTAAATTTAGTAGCGATAGTGATCAATTTAATATCTGTATCGTTTGTACTTCTTAATGACGTGACACTTAATGACGTGTTTGATTCTAATTCTAATTTTCTACCAAGATATTGTGTGTATGTCATATTACAAATGTTTTCTTCGTCTTCGTCTTCGTCTTCGTCTTCGTCTTTGCCTTCGTTTTCATTTTTATTTATATTTTTATACGTCAACGGCATTTTGTTTAAAGTATCATTTGAATAAAAATCTATATTACTTTTAGATGTATTTGGTAAATTATATTCATAATTAACTTTTTCATTTTCTTTTGTGTGCAATTTTATAAAATTTCCATGATTAGAATCCGTAAACGAAATATTAATAAAATCGTTGATTTTATGTGTATCGTGTATTTGTGTTGGAGATAAATTTTTTAAATCTATATCATCTTTCATAGAGGTAACTTCTTTGTTACTGACATTTGTAAAACTTAATTTCTTACGAATTTGTTTGTTACTTGCAGGAATAACTCGCGTTTCAAAATTTGTTTTTAATGCGCTGTCTTCTTTTTCTAAATCGATCGATTCCTTATGTACTCTTGCATTGCTAAAATTAAAAATTAAATGATACATTTGTAAAATAAAAAAAAAATATATATATATAATCATATTTATGATATTTACCTGTCTTTGTATTTAAGAATATTTGTGCTTGTTTTGTTAAATATTGAAATATTGCTATGCGTAAAGAATTCTGAAAAAGATGATGTAAAATAATAATCTAAAATATAATTTATAATGATAATATATTATTTACCATGATTTGCCTCTGAGGTAGAATTATTTGCTTCTTCGCCAGATAAATATTGAGTATTTCGATTCAAAATATTACAAGTAGATTCTGAATTACAAGATTCAATATTTTTGATATTTTTATCTATTTTTGGAGATACTATTTTTATATTAAGTGGAGAATATCTTGTTGATATAGAGCATGGACTATGCGCCAATTTTACTTTAGTTGGAGTATGATACGGTTCGTCCGATATATTTCTAATAATATTACGTCGTTTACGAGGAAATTGCAAATTAGAACCTTCCAAATCGAGCCTTCGTTTTTTCAGTCTATCATAAATACAAACACGTTTTTCTTCCTTATTGATAGTGATATCTTGATCTGTCTCGGAATCACTGGAGGTGTTGGCATTACCATCGAGTGCAGGTATGTTTAATTTATTTAAAACGCTATTAACAACGTATAACTTGTTATAACTAATTCGATCGAGATTGTTTTCAAAGTCTATTGAATGTTTTAGATGTTTATAATTATTTAGTTTATGTTCGATCTCATCCGCGTCGTAAACATCCAAGTCTTGATGATCTAATTTATACATATTTATATCTCTGTAATACGATGATTTTTTTTCAGTAGTTTGCAACGTTTTTCTATGTTTACTTTTATATTTTCGAGTGTGTTTTTGATGAAATGTAAAATATTTTGGTAATTTGATATCAAATACAATTCCACGTGGAACCGTTAATTGATTTTGTAAAAGATTAAAATTTATTTGAATATTTATAAATTCGTTTGATATCACACTGCTATTGTTGAAACACGATACAAGATTGTTCAATTTTGCACGTGTTTTTGTTTTTTTGTTTATTTTATTTTTAGTATGTCTTTGTAATAATTGTTTTTTATTTTTTAAATTCAAATCACTTGGACCATCGCATTGAGGAAGATCTCTCGAAGCACTTCCAACGTTATATTTAGTTTGTTTGAAATCTTCTGTCTTTTTACTTTCGCTTTCAGTGATAATTGAATTCCATGAACTAAGACTACTCAAATCTAAACTTGTGATATTCAAATCTTCGATTTCCCCATCTTCATTGTCTTCTTTAATTTCATTATCCAGCATAGAAAATTGAGAACCTAGCATGCTATCGTTATCTATAATTTTTTCTTCTTCATTTTCTTTCCTCAAGTCAGCCAATATTTCAACCAAGAACATATCTTCAGAATCCACTAAACATACGTACGTACGTACGTTATAAATAAAAATTTTAAATATAAAAATCTTACCAAAAAAAAATTTCTATTAGAAAATCCCACATATTACGTATCACTTACAAATACTGTTTTCTATTATTTTATCTAGACGTAAACTTTCTCCTATTTCAGATTTATCAAATTCTGATAAGTCATTCGAAAGTGTTTTATTTTTATTTTCATTATTTGATATTGATAGTTTAAAGTGATTTGATATGTACGAAGCGCTACATGAATCATCTTCGCTGTTCACTTCTAAAGGGTAACTACGTGTTTTTGATGTTACTGGTGTTACATTTTCACTGATCTAAAAGTATAAATGAATTAAAGTTGTATCCTTTTGATATAAAAATTTGATTGAACCTGTAATATTGTTAAGACTGTACCTGTGATATTGATTGCAATCTTTTTATTAATCGTTCTTCTTGATAAAGATCATTCTCTGTCGAGTCGTAAATTCTGCCACTGGTATCAGAATATAAAAACTGTGACCCGATATTTTCTAAATCTTCTTTTTCTCTTCTATGTTTTTCTTCGTTCCAAATAGCTGCAATACCAGGATTTAAATCTAAACCAATCTGAATTTCTTGTCCATTAAGTATTTCACATGCTTGCGCGTCTACTTCTAATTTGCAGATACTTTGTCTAGCAGCAAATGCAGGGAGATATTTTTGCGAATCAAGTAAACTTATTGGGCTCTCAGTTTGAGAATCGTTTTCTGATTTTGTACGTAGACATTGTCTAAATTTAACATCTCTTAAATTTATTAAACTCATGCCATAAAGATTGTAATCAATCGTAAATTGTAAAATAAAAGGTATATGCGCTTCGTGTGGTTGTAAACTTTGACCAAGTATAACACCATTCTAAAACAAAATATTTCCTATTATTTCTACATTTTTTAGAACAAAAAAAAAACAATTATAAATAAAAATAATATATACTTGTAATAAATCAGCTGCTCGTTTAATCATAGCTGGATTATAAAAGTAAATTTTAAAAAATGAATATTCATTCTCATGATATCCGTAAAGAGGGCTGAGAAAAAGAATTTTATACAGTTTTAAATAATTATTAATAACTTATTGATAAAGCTTGTTAACAACATTATTATTTAATGCTCTTACATTCCAGAAACTTTTTGAATTTTATAAACATGTTGAGTATTAAACATTGCAGATCCCAAAGATACATTTATTGCAGAATCTATTGCTGCTGCCAATTTGTACATATAACTGTCAACGTTGTTATTTATTATACATGGTATATACATATATGGAAACACTCCATGTATATGTAAACATGTTTTTACTCCTTAATTCAATTAGGGTCAAAAGACAAATAATTATTATTCAAATATTTATTGGTAAATACTGCATAAATAAATTATGATATACCAGATGGAGTAGATCCAAATATCCTGATAACTGGGACTTGTTTAATTTCATTTCCTCGAAAATCTGAAAATGTTACATCTAACTCTGATAGTGGAGTTGATTGATAACTATCCAAAGTTACCAAATTGATTGAAAACATATTACAGTCTATGAATAAAATATATTTTTTTATATATTATTATCTCGTTACTTAAACAAATTTTCAAGTACTTACTTGGAGAATTACAGGCTGATAAGCAGTGAGTTTACTTTTGTAATACTTTTTGTCAATTTTCATACGCGTTGTTTGTAATAATTCGCATCAAATTCCAGGTTATGGTTATAATTTTTATAGTTTTTCTATTGACATTCCTAAATTATTGTGTCTATAATTTTTTATGATATTAAGATGTTTTGTAAATATTATTACATTATAATTTCAATACGTTAAATTGTTAATATCATGAATAAATACAATCTATATCACGATACGCGTAACTTTTGTTCACACAGCTTTTCTAGTATGATGCAGCAATAATCACAATATCATGTGTATTTTGAACTGAAAAATAAGTAATTCTTAATTTCGTTAAATACCATTAAGATAGATGTGTAATAACAATAAAACTAAAATCTACATTTTTATAATATTCTTTATTTCGTATTATAATTTAAATTTTTATAAGTGCATTTTTATACAAGCACGTGTAATTAGCAAAATAAATTGTACAAAAGTACATTAAACATACATTAGGCATTTGAAATTTCAACTCTTATATAGATTGAATTAAAAATAGATTATATAGATCGAATTAAAAATTCAAGATTACAATATATTTCGTAGAGCAACATGTTCTCGTGATATTTAAAAATATTATAGTTTATAAAGTCAACATTGTAGAAAATAATATTTTATATTGCATATACTTTATATTGTATATATGTAAATAACACTAGAAGTAATTTGTGCGTATATATTTTACAGTAATTTTAATTTTATATACTTTATAGGCCAGTAGAATTGTAATAAAACGTTAGCAAATATTTAAGAGATTCTTCAAAAATAAGCTCTAAATGCAAAAATAATTTTAATTTGATGTTTACACGGAACAAATATTAAAATACATAGAAATAATAATGATGATCCAAATCAATTTAAGATAGTTAAAGAAACAAACGTTTCAATATTGACGATATAATTGAATATGATGTTTTAACGACATAATAAATTAAATCTATCAGAATATGAATACTTGGTAGAAGAAATTAAAATGACTCGCTTTTCATCTTAAACATGCAAGTTTAAAAAATGGCACAGTAACTTCTTTCACGAAAGGGATTTGACTTCTGTGATGAAAAACCAACCAAAAGATAATCTTCTTGTTCGTGCTCTGTGATATATTTCATGATATCTTCAACAGCTTTACTAACTGTGATTCGTCTCAAAGCAGCTTCACGACGTAGCTGCTCCGTGATTTGCCGTTGTTGTTGTAAATTAGTGGTCACCATATCCATAACAGTCGACAACAGAATTTCTTATGGAATACTAAAATATAATACTAAAATATTCTTAAATTTCTTTCGATTCGCAACATTTTAAGGTATTAAAAAACTATTAAATGAAGTTTACCAATTTTTAATAACAATCTCCGCCAATTTACAGTATAATACTTCACGCGAATTATTATACTTTCCTGCATGCCACTAAATTTTCAGTTTTGTATTTTAAGCCTATCCCTTAAGACTGATTTTCATAAAAATTTTATATTTTGTATATACACATATACGCGTATAATTTAAATTTTTACATAGAAATATTTCTTCAAAATGAATTAAATTGTGACCATTCGTTTAGAAAATATTTCACTTGATATTTAAATGTAAAAAATATATTAATTTGCATTCAAATGTCTCTAATTGTAAAATTACAATTATTACAGAGAGATGTCGCCGTAATAGCAATCTCGAAGGAAAGATCTGGATTTTATCATTTTTGACGGAAAGTTAAATTAGTGTATTCATTCTGAATTGCACGTGTGTTGTAAGGTTTTTCAAATTTTTATAATATAAAAAAAACAATATATATAAACCATGGCTTTACACGTACCAAAGGCACCGGGTATGGCCCAAATGCTTAAAGAAGGTGCCCGCGTAAGTGCAAAATGTTTTTTTAAAAATTACTTGAATATCGTTAAGCTAATATCACATTATCGTCAAAAGATGTCTTCTTTGGATAGGATATGACACAATGTTCCATCAAACATTACCTTTTATAGACATAGTGTATTCGTTTAATATATATACGTTTCTATAACACACTGAAAAATGTAATATTTTCACGAACAAAGGCATTGCTAAATTTATTTATTTTTTTGTATTATGCAGTTTATGGTT